GATTTTATGCAGCATGACTAGTAAACCTTACAAACTGCCGCTGACTTACACATTCCATGACCACTTCTCCTTTCGGGACGCGGAAACGGACGCGTTAGACAGTGCTTCAAACATTCTTGATCCTGTGCCAGAGTATGAGCTTCAGGTAAAGACAACTCCTTCATACTTTTGCCCCAAATAGACCTTGGCTGTCCTCTGGGTCATATGGGGCTCGACTGGGCAAAAAAACCGTTGTTTCTCCTTCCTCTCTGGAAGCATTCGCAGCAGGCGTTGAAACAATCGCAGCTGTGACTTCTCCATCTAAAGAAGCAGCGCCAGTACGCTACGACTCTCTCGGATTTCTGTACCCTACACAATATCGAGATATTGTGAGTCCTTGCAGAAACTCCTTGCAACCGTTTGTACCCGGGATCAGAGCTTTTCAGCGATGGTCCACGACTAATGACCGTAGGTAAGCATGAGGATGAAGATCGACTTGAACACCGAGAGCTTAGGTTTCAGACTGACTCTGTTTTAGTCACAACGGTTCGGGCAAATTCACACAACACGCCAGTGGCCATTCCATTCTGCCCGTCGATTTTTTCCTCGCATTTTCTATCATCAGTGAACACGATTCCGAGGTTTATGGTACGTAAGATTCTTCACCTGCTCCACTGCTTTTCCGTTAATCTGAACAAAGCAACGGGCAGGAGAAAGAGAAACGTTCGTTTCTGATGCTCTCACACACATGCCGGTCACGTTGCACCGGCTACGAGCCTACCCAGAGAACACTGTAGATCAATTTCAGAAGATGTCAATAAAACAAAGACGTCTGCAAACAACAACCTTCCCATCTCGACATTGATGCTCGCATTGCCTTGGGCATGCCTGACTATTCAATCTATGCACAACACAAACAGGAGAGGGGACAGGACGCAGCCTTGGCGGAGACCAGTGCCAGCGCTGAAAGATCTCGATTTAGCGCCATTTGCTGTAACGAGCACTTGCTCTCAGCATATAGTAGTTGCATGGCCCTAGCAACTGACCATCAATCCCATTTATTCGCAAGCTCGCCCATAGATGTTCAGCTTCCTGTTGATAGCGCATATTACCCGGATGAGCGAACTTCCATGAATTCTCAACAATGTGATGGATGGCGAATATTTGGTCATATGTGGTTGGGTCGGATCGGAAGCTCTTCTTGTATTTTGGAGTCAGTTATTCTGACTTTTCTAGCACCTCTCTGTAGGTTACCCCGGAGTCTCAATAACATAATGGCCTGATTATTGGAGCACTCCAGTTTCTCTGCGGTTTTGAACAAGGGTGCTACAATCCGCTTGGAGTCCGCTGGTATCTTCCCGTAATCGTTGAAGTTTGACAGATATGCATCACAGCTCATAGCCTGTTCGTCTAATACTGCAAGCATTTCAGGGCGGATTTCAAGCTTTTCACAGCACATGCGATTTCATCTGAAGAGGTACTAACATCCGTCGCCTGCTGCTTTTCAAACGACTCTAGCTGCGGTTACTCGGAGTTAAGAAATTTCCCAAAGTATCTTCTCCATCGTCGAAAAATGTCTACATACTCGATAGGAGGGTGTCAGAGCTTATCCTTCAGGATTCTTAGTCTGTCCTTCAATTCAGCTCGGAGGCGTTGAATCATCTGCCAGAATACCCTGTTTGCCGGAATTCTGGAAATTCGACTCCAACGCCTCACAGAACTTCTCCTAGGAATCAGCTTTGGCTTTCGACACCGTTTTCGCTGCCGCCTTGCGCGGGTTAAAATACCGCATACGAGTTGAAGGCCATTTGCCTCCAGGCTCTTTCGTGAATGTACGCTTCTTCGCAATGACAGGCAGCTGTACCTCTCGTATTCGTCAGAAAGTTCGATTCTTACCTCCCTGTGGCAGAGCAACCCGTTTGAAACCACAGCATTCGTAGGTACCCCAAGTATGACGCTGTTAAAGAGTTTCAAATATGTCCCCACATCAGCGGTTATGGTCGAGTTATTCATGAACATAGTTTCTTTTAATGGAAAAAACTAAAGCTTGGAATGTCGGTCTTCCTTACATTATCGTGATGGGTCGAATTGTGGCACTTTTGTTTTCATTGAGATAATGGTATGGGTGTTGATCTTCATTTGCATATCATGCCAGGACTGCCTTATTTTTAAGGCAGAGTAAACAGCAGTAATGTGACAAGTATAATCTGTATCTTTCAGTTCTTTCCCACACATATATCAGAGTTGTGTCTTCACTTCACTTATCAACGGTGGAAGGAAGAAACGCGGGTGTTTCCGACCGCCGCTCGAACTCGGAACCTCTCGGCTTTGAATCTGCTGCTTTACCAACGGTCTGAAACACGAGCGGGGAATTCCCTGCTCAATGCAATTCTTGTCAAAGACAAGGATTGACCGCCGTCTGAATCGAATCGAATTCGGCACCTCCTGAGTTCGAATTCGAAATCGACCTCTAGGCGCTGTGCCACCACGGCATGCTTTGTGAGCGAAAGATATCTGGAAAGACCATGAGAGGAATATCTTGCCAATCTTTTAAGTCAGTCTGCAGATTCTGACTATGCGCCAGTGATATTCCAATGTATTCTATGACGAAACGAGTTCTCACAATAACTGAGATGTCAGAAACGAATGAATCGATGGAAGATGACAGAGCCGTTGGGTATGATGAAGTGTGAAAGCGCTTGCGCGTTTTGCTACGAATGAAGAACCTTGATGGAAACAGAGCGACCTGCGATGCGAGCAGCCAGAGTGCGGTTCGTTCGAAGGACTTAGGCTTGAAAACGAAAACTCAGCTATCCGAGATACCTTCTTTTGTGAAATATATTTTCTCAAAGCAGAGAGACAGACGTTACGATGGCTCGAACAATGATTAGAGCGACAGGAGGGACTCTCGAAGCAGACTATCCATTTAAAGTCACATAACGTGGATGATGTAGAATCAGGTAGCTGAAGCGCGTCATGCATCTGCCATTGCCTTGCTTTTGAACTCGGTCAAAAAGGATTGCCGAATTGGCTGAGAGGGGGGACAATTGACAGCTCATGAAAATGCTGTTTCTCAATTTGAAAGGAAAAATGAGGCGTCAAGACGAATATATAGATAGTTGTTTGAACGATTCATGATTTGGAATACTAAATAAAAGAGGTCGTACGACATTTTATTGCCGACACGTTCCGCTACCTAGGTAGTAGCATCATCGGTGTTAAGCTAAATACAAATTACTTTCGTAATTTAACAAACGCTACGGGCTACAGACACTGTATAACTACGGGCTCAGAAACAAAAACAAATATTATTCAAAATGAAAATATTTCGCAAAATTTTTGTGGCGCTGTTTTTAATTAAATTTCTGCTCTCTAGCTGATGGGCTTCATGACGCAACCAAAAACTGCATAATGTATTGCATATGAATTGACTTAGAAGGTACTTCCAAACTTCTGGTTGAAAAATACAGTCAGAAATTCTGTTTTTGGACAGAAGACTAATCTGAATAATAACGAGTTCACGGTCATTTCCGGTTACCACTGTAATCTAAAACAGCTTTTTCGCCTTCATGACAGATCTTAGGGGCCATCGTAGAGGTGTATAACTGCCTACTTTACCGCGGTAACGATTTCCCCCACTGGGTTCAGTATTTTGGTCCCTTGTGCCTTGCATTACGCCAATACAATGGTTAAATTATGACGTATACTACGTTGTGTATCGGAGTTACTCAGTCTATAGAAGATCAGACTCAGAGCCAAAAAGTTCCGCATTCGAGCACCGTCGGATCACTCGTCTTTCTTTCTTCCGAAGTTGACAAATGAGTATCACTTTTTGGGAAGGAAAAAGAGACTTACCGCAACTACACATCATGCTTGCGACATAAATGCTGTCGATTCTGCTTTAAAAAGTAAAATACAGCTGGGTGATGACGTGAAAATGGAAATCAGTACCTCCACTATAAACTTGATGAAACAAAGATAGGGAAAATTTACCGCAGCATTTAA